TGGTACCGTGCGCCATCGTGTATTTCCAGTTACTTCTCGTCGATGTTTGATCGATCTGCCTACCCTTAGCCTTATCGTTCCATGCCGATAACTAGCTTGTCCCGCGAAAACCTCCGCCTTAAATATCCCTATTATGCTGCCGTTTCGTACTGGTCGCGTGATCTTTGCCAATATTATAAGGAAAACTTTGTTTTCGCGTAACTGATGGCTTTGTTGGTAAAACACGAGTTGTACGGAGCATCGACGTAACTAGGCACCAGGGTGAACCTAACCCTTATCACGTAACGCGAAATACGCAAAATATATTACGGTGAAACTTTGAAATCTTGAAACGTTATACGCGTTCAAATTGCTAACTTTATAAATTCGGTAATTTGGAAATTGAGGATTCCTAAGTTCGGGGATTTCGCCTACTCTGGTTGTATCGATAAGGAGGTCTCTCAATCATGTATTTCTGATTGATTGGAATTGATGGGATGTACAAATGTCGGGAGAAAATCCGTGGATTATAGGATTTATTTGGGATAATACGTTCCCTTAGATTCGAGATCAATTATGAATGTGGTTCGAAATTATCGACGAACGTTTCAATGAACCGATTCGAGACTCGGAGAATTTCCAGATTTAAGCTTTCTAATTGCTGTAATTCTATATATGGAATGACCCGATCCTTCCTATTGTAATTCCGCAAACTTAAATAATTTCCAAAGGCAAACTGCTACGAGTTAAAACTTAATTACTAGATGTCTAAACAATTATATAAACCTATTACACAATTTTCGCTAAATATAATATGCTCTTCGAGTGCTTAACCATAAAGTTTGTTCATAATCAAAGAACGAAATGCTCGTAAAATCGCTGATAAACTCGAAGGTAAAACCTGTTATAAACTGTCGCAGGTATTTCTAACCACCTTTTCCGGAAATTCTAATCATAGTAGCACCTGTCCTTGAAAACCGGGCCCTGAAAACCTGTTAATCCGGTGAAAACAGGTGAAACGTGGTCCAATTGAACCTAAGACTGTACGGAGTTGCGGCGCTGGATTTTTCCCTGGCGCATTTTTGTCGGTCTATTTTGCAAGCGAGGGGTGATTTTCTCTCTTTCTCTGTCTCTCTTGTTGGTGGGTGTCGATATTAGGGGTAGCGAGAGGGGTTGGAGAGAACGGGAAGGTAGTGGATTTGGGGGTTGGACCCGTGTCGAGGTGGGGCAAAGGTGACCCCCGCGGATCAATACCGACGCTGGTTCGGCGCCTACATCGTACTCCAACGACCGATGCTCTTGTTTCCTCTCGAAATCGAATTCGATTCATCTTTTCCGCAGACTTCGCATACTCTACTATTTACACTTTCTCCGTTTACTCCCGTTTACAGAGAATCAGTCTCTGAATCTACATCTGTATGCACTTAATTGTTTGGTGCACTATGATATAAAAATTTCAGTTTGGAACACTCTATAATCGTTGACTAAATTTTAACTGCCATTAACATTTCATATAATTTGTAAGAATTATTTACTGTGAAGCAAAAGTGTATCTGGAGATTAACTTGCTAAATCGTTTGGTGATTTGGTACTAGTAAAACTCGACATTGTCCAAGTTCGAGAAGCGATGTTTTTCAAGGTATCCTAACGTCTGAAAATAACTAAGGTTGTCTTTAAATATCGCGAGTGATGCTTGCCAAAAACGCTGGTAATATCGCTTCCGCGGAAACACGTGGAGTAGCAATTTTCCGACGCGTTTTCACGAAGCGCGAAAGTAGCTCGCGTTCAAGCGAGCGTAACCGTCCGATGGTCGCTGATGATGCAACGAAGACGTCAGTCGATTACTTCACTACTTTCTCCCGTTCCGTAGAAACGTAACATTGTTCTGGATTAGTCCGCGTGGTTAACAGAGATATCGATAGAGGAACGTGTCGTTCCGCGAGCGTGACGAGCACGAAGGGCATCTCGTTGCTTGGCCGGCTGTTTCTCGTCTCCTTCGACGCGGCAAATTAAATTCGAGCTTTCTCGAGCGTGTCTCCTGTTTCTCGCGAGCCTAATAACTTACTCGTTCGACCCGCTGATGATTAATTTACCAGTGTTCCGCAATAGTCCGGAAAGGAAAAGTAAAGTTGCAAACGAGAGCTCCGGTCAGCGTGAAAGCTCTTGAAACCGCGTAGGCAAGTGCAACGGTTTGAATTAATGTCGAATAAATTATTCGGCCTTGGTGCGCTCGTTTTGAAATATTGTTGCAGTTCGGCAAGATTTTATCTGAACAGATCATAGATATTGCAACATGTGAAAAGTACCGTTATAACTATATGCGATAGAGAAGGATGGGTGAAAATTCAAATTAATGGAGATAGAGCTGCTACGAATAGCATTATCGCGGTGATTGCCGCTGTGTATTCGCCAAAATTTCTAATTATAATTATGGATATCTGAATAGCCGTTTATCAGAATATTGTGCATTCGAATACCTCATTATAACAGCGGGACATTTTTATGAAATAATACAGCACAGAGGAATTGACAATAATATTTCAACGGAGCTAAATATAAAGACTTTTGCAGTGTACGGAAAATTGTGAAATTCAATTACCGACCTAATATAGAAATACCGAGCGAAGATTAATCATAAAATTGAGCAATCTAATTTTTCAGGATATTCCTCCTCTCGGAATCTAATATTCAAGCTTCTACCTGAAACGACGACACAGATTTTTCCCGTTCTTTGACAATGACGCGATTTCTCAAGGCTTCTCTAGTACCCTCCAGAGATCTTTGAGAAGTTACCTCCTCTTTTGAAGAAAGAGGATGTTTGCCTTCGAAGTAGGGTAAAAACCTAATTTGTCGACGTCGTAGCTCGTTCTAGAACTTCTCTAACGAATTTCTGTCCCGTCTACCAGCCAGCTTGGCCGTCGAGGATATTGAATTAAAAAAGGAAACCGAAACTTGAAACTTCCATTAAAAAATTTTTTCTACGAAAAGAAGTTGCGCGAGTCTCGGAACGTTCTTCCCGTGAATTTTTCATGGCAGATTCTTTTTCGACGCGAGTAATAATCTTGGGCATAACCGAATCGACCGGATTCAGGATGTCAGTGTCCGGTATCCGTGGCCGGAAACGAGCCGTGGCGAATGGATACAAACTAGTCACGTGTCGTGTTGCATGCCATTACGTCACGAGCGAGGGATAAAAGAAGACTTTGCAAGATTTTCGTTCATATTTTCCCTTCGCGTTATGTCGATACAATTATCGTGAATTAAATGATAGCATATTGCGATGCGTTAGATTTTATTTGATTTTATGCAGAAATAATCTACGCTGAATTGAAGCGACCTCACGCAGCTTCGATCGTGTTCTCGTTTCCTCCTCGTTTGTTTTTATTCGTGTATTTTCAAGCATGAAACTGGTGATGAATCAGGAGAAAAAATGTGGCTGTCATCGTACAGACAAGCTGTTCGTTTCTTTGACAAGATTGAAAGTCGAAGAGGAACGATGTGGACAGTTCGAGGTCGATTCGCAGTGAGTTTATCTCTGTTGGAGCGATTAATTTCACCGTTAATCAGGATAGTTAACCTGCAATCGGAACGAACGGATAGGTCGACACTCGTTTTTCCACGTTGGATTGGATTTCTCGTGGATTAATCGAGTCGAGTGGAGGTCTTTGACGAACGAACGAGAGGAACTCGATTCCGCGCGTTTGCGTTTCTCGAAATCGCCGCTTTTTCCGGCCTTTCCGGCGATAAAACGTAATTCTGCGTTGTTATCGACCGGCACGACCTTCCGTACACCTCAAAATTTACATAAAACTGGTCCGCCGTTACATTTTTATCGCGATTTCCCGGTCGGCCGAATAATCTCGGTCAATGATTAATTCAGCGCGATTCAAGTTATCGTTCAGCCTCTTTCCTCTTAAAATTGCTCGCGCTCTCCGATTCCAACGGGGAAATTGAAAAGGCAAATTCGATTAATCGTTGCGCGCTCGAACGTGATTCTTTTCCGAAATCGTGATTACTAAAAAGTGTCCGCCGTCGGCGAAAGCTGCGGTCGCTGCGGGCAGCGAATTCCTCGTTGGAAGGTCGTATAATCGATTCATCGATGTTGTCGCGAGCTGGCGGGAAAATGTACGAGACAAGGTACAAGCTGTATCAGGGGGGAAGTTTTTCTACGCTTTGGAACGATGTCTCGTTTCCACGGGACAATTTATACGCGACATCAAACGCGGTGACCAGCTACATGACCGAACGACCGTGAACACAATGCGCCACGAATTTATTACGATATTATTCGACGCGATCGCTGTGCCAATAAATATCGCTGCACAACCGGAATTTAGTCGTCGACGGGACGAACTTGAATTCGCCCGTCGAGAACTAAAATTTCCTCTAAAAATAGTTGGTTCTCGCTGTGACTCGCGAATTATAACGCTGATGGTATTTTCCTGTATTTTATACGCGGTACAATCTCCCGGTCAAGAAAATCCGTACCCCGGAGCGTACCTCTGGCATCTATATTTCTGCGTTAAATGTAATTAATAAGTACGCTGTTGGTGAAGCGTTAACGCATCCATTGTTCGTTCTGTATATCGTATGTGATATACTATCGTCCTTTGTTCGACGTTCGAACGAAACCCGATGAGTTTCATTTAAATTGCAATTACTAGTCGAATGTACATCAAAGGTAGACAGTTTGATCGGTATGAACGGATAAATACACGTTATATCTGGGAACCAGACACGTACATAAGAATTTCTCACACGAAAATTACATAACGATCTCAACATTCGGTGTAGCTAATTAGGGTAATCTCAGAAGTATCAAATCCTTACGGTATAAAAGTACTATTTGAAAAATACTCCGCGTTGTTAACGTCTTTAAGATTCCATGAAAATAACGAAATATCGTGGTAGTAAAACGCGAGGTATTTTGGCGTAAAATGCTAAATTTGTATGTCGGTAAGTTCGACGAGCGAAAAGCGCAATGAACTAATGAAGTGTTTTGTGGTGTGTTCGCGTTACAGGTACAAAGCGAATCGTTGCGTGAGCGGGGGCGGTGGTCGCGGAAACGGTGCGACTGGCGGTACCGGAGGCGGTCTAGGTAACGGAGGCAGCGGCCGCGGAGGCGGCGGGGGC